TCTTATTTTCCTATCAACTATTTACTAATTTTGTTAGAGTTGACATTTACTTCTCACATTAGCTTTTCATATCAAGATGATAGTAATTTTTAAAATAATTTAATTAATTTTAATTAAAATGTAATGCAAAACTTTAAATTCATGTTCTCCTAATATAATCACTTGTTTCTCCTAACAACATTTGGACATACATGCCTATGCACACATGCTTTATCACGTTATTGTCAAATAAAATAGAATGAAGAAAACCAAGTCATCAACAGAACATTACACTTACAGTTCATTTCATTATTGTTAAATTAGTTTTAGTTTTTCAAAAGAATTCAGCTCTTATCATTTTTGTACTAGACTAAGTTTCATCTTAAAAAGCAAACGTCACAATGGCCACTTTGGTCATTTGTGGCCTTTTGTGTTCCTGGCCCTCTGTTGCCTGAGGGAGCTTCATTAATAAAATTGAGATATTCATTATTCATTCTTTACCCTTTGTCATGCTCCGTGAGCCTCAGATGTAGAGGTTGCATTGCAGATGTGGCACTTAGGCTTGGGCAATTCACAGACAATGTCTGTGTATCACCAGTTGTAATAGTCTGTAGTGTCTCTGTCTGGTGCAAAAGAAGGAGGAGGTGCATGACCATATGTAAGGAGAGTCATACAATCTTCTGGGACCCTGTTCATTTGAACCTACAGCAATGGTGTCAGCATGCACAAGACCCATGCAAATTCAAACAGACAAATACACAGCATAGAACTGGGGAAATGGACAGCAGACCCCAATTTAGCTGAAGAAATATTGGCAACTGATTACTGCTGGGTGAGGAAGAGCTGATCTTCCTAAACGAGGGACTCTAGATAGGCTGACTAGATCTCAGTAGATGAACTTGCACTGAGGATTGTCTGGGGACAATGACCTGACACAACAGGCCTTAACACAAATGACACAATGTATGAATTCCAGTGGGGGTTATGGGAGGGTGCCAGTGAGGAAGGGGGTATAAAGATGCATAAGATTGATTGAGATGTTTTGTATGAAATACACAAAAATTCAATTTAAAAATTAAAAAATAATAATATTTTTTAACTGACTAGTTTGTTTAAGTTGAATAATTCATTTGAAGAAGAAGAAAAAAAAAGCAAAGGCCTTTCCTAGCACAAAAATCAAAAATGTATGTTTTTATGATTGGTTTATTTCTCTTGCTGCGCAAACAGCAACTGAAGAATCTTGAGCCAGGTGAGTGCTTTAAGGGATGGGTTTGGCTAGCCATGACCTCTGACACTGAAGAAATCTGTCAGCTAGCTCTGAAACACACAACTCAAAATATTTGCAGTTCCTCTTCTGCACATTACTTTTGTTCTATAGAATATCTTACCAGTTAATGGCTAATCTTTGTCTTTATAATATAAAAATATCAACAGAGTTTACATGGCAGAAACGTTAACTAAAGGGCCTTCTGCTCTGATGGAGGCCATCCTACTGACCTTTCTGTGCTCCTGGAGGCTTGATGCAGAGGAGTACTTTTTGCTGCACACGGAACAGACAAGTTTTTTCTTAGGATCTCCTGAAACAGGAATGAAATCCCATGACAAATTAAATAATATTGATGCAGTGTTCTACATATGTAATCTCATTTCAATAATTAAGAATTCTATACTGTTCTTTTCAAACTTAATTCAGCTCATCAGTTTCTACATGTGTCAAATAGGCTTTTCACTTTCCCATGTGTTAAAGTAGTTTTAAAAGAAAAAACTTCCACAAAAGCCAAACAAAAATTAAAATTAACCAAATATGGTTTTAAAAGGAAAAATTAACATATTAATTCATAAGCTTATTTTTCTATTTCCTTTACCTTTCAACAAAATATTTTACTTTATTGCTATATTAAGATGGAATTCACATATTCTTTCCAGCATAAACTCAAAGAATTTATGAGCCTGTGCCTTATAAAATCAATGTTAATAAATAGTACAATGTAAAATCAAGAAAAATAATATATTATATTGGCAACCTCTATTATTATATCAAATAAACAAAAATCTGATTTTGTCTTCTTATATGGTAGTTATAAGGATTCATTTCATATTTCAAACTTCATAGTAGCTATCAAAATAATTTTTAAATGTGATGCACGTAATAACCTTATTATATGCATCAGCATAAACAAGCATAAATTTTTCATTTTTAATTTATTGACTTCACATTCCCAAAAAGTAAACAGCACAGTGTGACACTATATGCCCATGCCTTTGCCCACACAAGGTCAAATCCATACCCATTTCTACCTCAATGACAGGTACCCCAACACACAGTTCTTTGTAAGCAAAAGTAAAACTGTTGTTACAATGTTATTTAATTACACTGTAGTACTGTTTCTGAAAGAGAAGCAAGCATTTAGAAAACCAAAGATACGAATTCTTTCCAAGATATTCATGCTAAGAACAGATGCATTTAATGCCTTGTTTAAAGCATGCTACAGATTACAGCAGACTGGCAAGGCTACAAAAGACAAGCTTTTTCCCTAAGAAAAATGAGTATATGTATGTATTTGTTCATTCATCAATATATTTTACGCAGAAAGGCCACTGAGAAAGATTATTCCCCTTTTCAGCTCATGTTATTTGGGACTATAGATGTTCCAGGCATAGTTCTGTATGGAAGCTCATTCCTCAGAGCAGCTTCTCCTTGAGACTAGCCCCCTAGTTTTCCCTTAAGGAGAGAAGAAGCAGGAAGAGAGGAGGGAAGAAGTTGATGCCTCTCAGTTTTCTTCCACTCCTGTTGCTGCTTCAGGACAGCAGCTTGTACAGCAAAACCTCATCCCTACTTCTCTGCTCCCTCTACTCACATCTCTTCTTCATCCTACTACGGCAGTCTTGGGTTCTTTAGGGAGAAATGCAGCAATAGCTTATGACTGCTCATCTGAGGAGATAGACAAATGCTCTATCACATGAATACATCCTTGCTGTAGCATGCACAGACTCTAAGAAAAGGAAAGGTGGAAAGTGGGGTGAGGAACTCAGCCCCTTCACTTTCTGTGTCCACCTGTGTCCTGGGAAGGCCATCATCAGTCTATAACTTCTGCGGGTTCAGAGACAACAGCATCTATACAAAGCCAAAGCTAGACTTTATACTATTTTGGATTTTCTATAGTCAGGAGGGCTGCAGATATGGTGATGTAGCTCAGTGGTAGAGTGCCCACTCAGCATGTGTAAGGCCCCCAGGTTAAATCACTGGCATCAGTATAAAAAAAGGAAGAGAGGAAGGAAGGAAGGAAGGAAGGAAGGAAGGAAGGAAG